GTGGCATTACACAGAACTTGCAAATGTAGACATACTCCTTTTTTTGTGAACTGTACAAACATGGCATTGCCTAGAAGGATGCTTCCTCTTGGAATGTTCACTCTTTCACAATTTTCACGAGGGTATGGTTCCGCATACCATCCAAGAGTCGCCCTGGGGGGGTCCACATGAGGCCTGCGTGGCGTGGGAGTTGATGGGCCCGGTTGCACTAAGTCTGTGTCTGACTGGTTCTGCCGCCACCATCTGGTCTGTAGCCCAGGCCTTTGCCACATTCATCAGAAATGCTTTGTATTTCAATTTCAAATCAGGGTTTAGATTTTTGTAATTTTTTAGATTTTTTACTGTCCCTGCAATGTTATTACCCCCCATTATTGTCGGAGCTGTCACTTTTACTGTCTGTGGCCACAATTCTTTGTTCTCCCCTGTCACTGCCTCTCTGAATCACCATGACTACATGTCTCACAAGGCAGGCCAGCTAGCTCATTGGAGAAGAATTTGTCATTGTCCATACCCCACCACTGACTACTGGCTGATACATACAGCTTGAAGAGCAGCAAAGCATTTTCGTTTATAGTGGGTTAAGAAGACAGCAAGGTCAAGTTACTGATAGGTAAGCAAACATTCCAGAGTTTTATCATGTTCATTGCGTGCAACTTGGGTGGCGCCAGAGCAAGGTATAGTGTGTTACAACCTAACGTGTCCTAAATCCATGATATGATGCAACCAGGCCGCCACATTTAAAAGCTAAAAGCATGATATCATGCAATTCGTCCTGAATGTGTTAAGATGCATCCACATTACTTGTGCTTGTGCGATTTGCTATGCTTGTGGGCAATGTGAACGATATGACAAGTCATGAGACAAGCAAATTTTAAACTTTTAATTTAAAAACTATAGTCAATAAATTAAAATACGACTACAGCCTATACACACTACAAGTAAATATATGGATCCGCACATGCCGAAGCCTGGCGAGCAACTGAAGTACGAGGGGCATTCAAGTTCTAAGGTCTCCGATTTTTTTCTCAGGACTGGGAGCAGGTAGACACATGCGGTTTAGTTTAAAATATGTGTTATATTTTAGCGTCCTGTTGCACTGACTCATGTCCATGATTTAAGCTAACCGTCTTACAGTGCATACACTTTTTTCACCTTACTCTTCTCTTTTGCACTACATGTTTCAGCACTAGCGTGCCATCTTCAGGTGCATTTTCTCCATGCATGCAATGCAATAGTTAGACGTGCATAGAGAAAACACACCTGAAGATGGCACATTAGTGCTGAAACATGTAGTGCAAAAGAGAAGAGTAAGGTGAAAAAGTGTATGCACTGTAAGACGGTTAGCTTAAATCATGGACATGAGTCAGTGCAAC